TATGTATACATATATTATATAATATTATATATATATATCTGTGTGTGTGTGTGTGGTGTGTGTGTGTGTGTGTGTTGTGTGTGTGTGTGTGTTTGTGTGTGTATGTATGAAATAAGTATTTATTCATATATATATATATATATATATATATATATATATAATATATATTTATTTATTTATTTATGCATACATATATATATATATATATATATATATATATATATATATATATATATATATATATATATATATATAATTACAGGGAGAGAAAGAGGGGGTAAGGGAGGGTGAGAGGAGGTGGATTTGTAGACGTCACAACTGCGTCTCACTTTACCTGTTCGAAGTCAGGAATAAGCGCCGTAAGCAAGAGCATCTGATAGCACTATAGTAGCATTAGTAATTCATAAACGATTAGGAATATCTACTTAAGACCAAAAGAGGCAAGGAATTCATAATAAAGGGGATAGCAAAAAAAAAAAAAAAAAAAAAAAAAAAAAAGTGACAGGAATACAAGCAAAATCTTAGAATGAACTAACGAACGAAAATAATACTTATCGACGGTAAACATTCAAGACAAAGCCCTGACCTAATACATTAACACAGAGTGGGATTCACAAGCTGGATTTAACAAGCAGCTCCTTACGAACCAGAATGCTAAGCTATCACTTAAAGGGCCACGAAATATATCATAAGGAACCACCATAATGTACGGAATGAAAAATGCTACGAGTTATGGCGCCGGATTAGGAGAAAAATTATCAAAAAGGACGAAACTAAATTACGGAGCCCAGATCTATGGCGATACATTTTGTAGAGGGATGCGTGTTTTTTTTCTTTTCTTTCTTTCTTTTCTGGGTGTGCGCGCGCGTGTATGTGTGTATGTCTATCTCCCTGTATATATATGTACGTGTATATTTACATACATATAATCATAGAAACACACAACACACACACACACACACACACACATAAATGCATGTATACATATTTACAAATTACAGAAGTGGATAGATGTAAGAAGCTGGCTGTCAAACGGTAGAGACCATGTCCTCTTTGGCATGCCGCTTGTACGTGTCAAAGAAAAGGGAAATGGACTTGCAGTATGAAATGTGTCATCTGAAACATGACGTTCTGTGAAAGGATCGGGTTCGTGTTTTATTCAAAAGAATTTCGAAAATGAGTATGAGACGGAATAACCTTCATCTGTTTGCAGATACGGACACAAAGGGCCTGTCTGTCCCTCCTTTCTCTCTCTCTCTCTCTCTCTCTCTCTCTCTCTCCTCTCTCTCTCTCTCTCACACACACACACACACACACACACACACACACACACACACACACACACACACACACCACATACACACACACACACACACACACACACACACTCAACAACAAAAATCAGATCTATACCTATTTTTTTTAATGTTATTGAGCCATCTGTCGTTTTTTTTTTTTTTTTTTTTTATCAACAAGCTCATATTCACTCTCATTTTTATACATTGACACTTTTTATCATCGTTTGGTTCCCAAAATCTACGTTTTTAAAAGTAGGGCAACTATTATTTCGCTCTAATTTAAAATAATGACAATAATAATATGAACAGCAGCGAGGGAGAGCGATAAAAATCACCTAATGTAAGTTTTAATCACACGAGTTTGCTTAGGAAATAGAATTGTCTACTGCTAATTAATGGTAATGAAAGTAATAACAGAAGATTTAAACTAAGCAGCTTATATACATGGGAACTTTTGCTCCAATCATCTACATTACGACAAGCGAAAGTTGCCCTATACTTTGTGTGGATTAGAATACGTTATGGGACCCCTTACGGAAGTCAGCTGATGAGACTCTGAAAATTTTACACTTTTTAAACATTTATTGGGTGCATTTTCCTTGTACTATTGTCGCCTGTTTTTAAACTATTGTTATCAGCAGCGTTATTGTGATTAGCTTACATGTAATTACTGTTAGTATTATTTGAGTTCTTTTTATCATCATTGTTATTACTTTTTCTATCAATTTATCATGTCGTTCTTCATTGCCTGTTTTTAAACTATCGTTACCAGCATCATTATTGTGAATATCATAGATATTATCTGTTATTATTATTAGAGCTTTTTAACATAATCATTATTATTTCTATAATTTCTAAATCACAATTCCTAATATCATTATTTTATCATTAGTTTTGTCTTTATCATTCCAATTATTATCAAAGTTTTAATGATAATAATAAATAATCTTCATTATGACCATCGTTACAGAAATTATTTCATTCTTTTTAACATTTTTATCCTATTTTAACCTCTGGTCATTGGCATTTTCATTACTGCTTTTCTGAATAAGTATTTTAGAATTTATTGCATGTCCCCCCTAACACATTAACTATTAAACGAAATAACATATATAAGATGTTCATTTTACAGTATTGGCTGAAAAAAAATCCTACATAGTAATGAGAAAAACAAAGTAACACCTCTCTCTCTCTTTCTATCTCTCTCTCTCTCTATCTCCCCCCCTCTCTCTCTCGCCCCCCCCCTCTCTCGCTCTCCCCCCCCCTCTCTCTCTCTTGCTCTCTCTCTCTCCTCCCTTCCTCCTTTTCTCCCTACCCCCCCCCCTTCACCCACCCACCCACACACACACAAAGAGAACTCAGCATAACACGTTAATACATGCGCGCCATCTCTTGTTTGTAAGCCAAACTTGCGATATAAAGGTGGTAATTTTCACATCCTTGTTTTATGAATAAACAAGGGATAGTGTTCTCGTATGTTGTGAGCAAACTATGACTCAGAGAGTAAACTGCCCTGGAATATTATGAAGAAAACTGGAATAAAGTAAACATGGAGGGGCTTTTAGTCGACAGGTGCACTGGATATGTCTCTATACTTTTCTATGAATTTGTATACATTTGTATGTGTGTCTGTATATAGTGAGATAGACAGAGATAGGGGCATATACATATATAGCGAGGGGTGGGAGGGGGGAGAGAAAGGAGAAAGGAAAGGGAGAGAGGGAAAGAAAGGGAGGGAGGGAGAAGAGAGGGAAAGAAAGAGGGAGAGGAGAGAGGAGAGAGAGGAGACGGAGAGAGAGAGAGAGAGAGAGAGAGAGAGAGAGAGAGAGGAGAGAGAGAGAGAGAGAGAGAGAGAGAGAGAGAGAGAGGAGAGGGAGAGAGAGGAGAGAGAGAGATAGAGAGAGCGAGAGAGAGAGAGAGAGGACGAGAGAGAGAGGGAGAGAGAGAGAGAGAGAGAGAGAGATAGAGAGAGAGAAAAGAGAGAAGAGAGAGAGTATAAAGTACACAGTTACTCTGCGTGCTTGATCGATTTGTATGCACTACGTATATGTGCATAGAAACCATTTACATACAATGAAGCAAAGGCAACTTTATTCACAAATGATTCAATACGTACACAGGCAGAGAGTGGAAAAAAGAGGGAGAAAGGGAGAAGAGGTAGGAATGGAGGAAAGAAGAACGAGAGAAGAGAGGAAGAGTAGAGCGGAGAGAGAAGAGAGAGAGAGAGAGAGGAGGAGGGAGGGAGGGAGGAGGGAGGAGAGAAAGAGAGAGAGAGAGAGAGAGAGAGAGAGAGAGAGAGAGAGAGAGAGAGAGAGAGAGAGAGAGAGAGAGAAGAGAGAGAGAGAGAGAGTGGATTTTTCTCAGTAAAAAAAAAAAATTACTAATTCCCCCTATTATAAACGAAAGAAAAGGAAAAGACAGACAAAAAAGACAAAAAAAAAAAAAAAAAAAAATAATAAAAAAAATAATAATAATGAAAAAAATAAAGCATAAAATTAATCCAGTCATGCAAGAACAACCATCTTTTTTCTCAATGCGAAAGATTTTTTTTTCTTTTTTTGTAATTTGAATAATTTATCCATCATAAGTGTTTTTACGTTTCGTTTCATTTCTTTCTTCGTTCGCGCCTGTATGTGTGGGTGTGCGTACGTGTGTGTGTGTGTGTGTGTTGTGTGTGTGTGTGTGTGTGTGTGTGTGTGTGTTGTGTGTGTTGTGTGTGTGTGTGTGTGTGTGTGTGTGTGTGTGTGTCTATGTGCGCACGTACATATGCGTGAGCGGTAACTTTTACATGGTAGTTAATACATGTACAACACATATATGCATGTGGGAGTAAGTATGTTCGTGCGCACTTATCCATCACCATATTCTGCATGTTCGTCTGTTTGTGCGTGCCGAGGGGGGGACGCGGTTCAGAAACTCCAGTCACGGTGGCCAATATATTTACCGGTAATTTGCTTATTCTATTTGTCTTTCCCTTCGCGTCCAATTACACTTCCCTGTTGTGCATTTGGACTTGTTTTAACAATTTTGCTATGTATTAATCCCATCACCAAAATTCGGTTTAGTATCAAATCGGTCTACGTGAATATATATATATATATATATATATATATATATATATATATATATATATATATATATATACATATATATATATATATATATATGTGTGTGTGTGTGTGTGTGTGTGTGTGTGTGTGTGTGTGTGGTTGTGTGTGTGTGTGTGTGTGTGTGTGTGTGTGTGTGTGTGTGTGTGTGTGTGTGTGTGTGTGTGTGTGTAGTTATAATTGAGATCAGTCACGTTTATGTTAGTTAGATTTTCCGAGTGAATATTCTTGCGGGCAAATAAATTATTTTCACAAACCGTGTTAGTAATAAACACACAAGGCAATTTTACAGAACGAATCAGTGTCAATAAATACACATAATAAATGCTTTACATTATCGACAACCGACACAGTATCCTCCTAATCGTCAAAGAAAACCTATTTCACTTTATTTAATGTTAAATCACTCGATTTTACCTCTACAACATAGCATTTAGAATATATAATTCAGATATTATGTTTATTTTAACATCCACATTACTCAGCCACATCACTGAAATCCCAAACACTATCAAATATACCAAACATTCATATAAAAACAAACGCACTGAATAAATGACCAGTGAACTCAAAGACACTCGACCACCACACTTACCCTGAGTGAGAAGGGGCCCGAAGAACACGAAGGAAATGAATACAGCAATTATAAACTTTGAGGTTGCCATGGTGTGACACTTAACACTGTTTACAAGGATGAGACCACGGTTGAGTCTCCGCACACCGCAAGAACTCTGCTATAACACGTGGTTTTCTTGTTCTTGTGTTACGAGAGGAATGGCTACTTATAGAGCCTCGTTTGGCTTCACTGCGCTTGGCCCGACTTCTAGAAGGTTCAGAGTGTATGTAAAAGTTTTAGTATCAATAGGAATGAATGATTTTTTCGGATATGTATTATCTAACACATAGGAACAGACAGTGGTTCATGTTTGAAAAAAAACAAACTTCTTATCAACCTTATCTAATAGATGATGAAAGGCCTACATCTTCCAACTAATAAAGAATACATCCAGTTTTTTTTTTTTTTTTTTTTTTTTTATGGGTAGTTTTATGTATTCTATTTTCTTTCCCAGTTCAGATTACAACGCTGTACTTTTTTTTTTAACTTTTTCTTATATTCTTTTTTTTTACTCTGACCTCGTGTCCATAAGCTCTTTGCCGGCGCGTCCTGAGACAGGCGAGCGAGGTCACAGGAGCGCCACGTGCAGGTCGAGAGGCAACACGAGAGAGAGTGACAGAAGATCCTCCCGGCACCGCTGACGGGGGATTACTGCGCATGCGTGGTGGCGCCTCCTCGTCTCCCTCGCGCTGTTGCCAGAAGACAACTCACATTCCTTAAAGGCAAAACTTTTTTTTTCTTTTTCTTTCTCGGAAGAGGAGTAGGGGTGGGGAGGGGGTGGGGTGGCAAAAGTAGATGAATTACGGATGTCGTTGTTCTTAAGCTCGGCGTTTGTCCGGGATGAGCGGGATTTTTGAGATGATTCTCTCTCTCTCTCTCTCTCTCTCTCTCTCTCTCTCTCTCTCTCTCTCTCTCTCTCTCTCTCTCTCTCTCTCTTCTCTCTCTCTCCTCCCTCTCACTCCCTCTCTTCTCTCTCTCTCTCTCTTTCCCTATCTCTCTCTCTCTCTCTTTCTTCTCTCTTTCTCTTTCTCTCTCCTCCCTCCCTCTCTCTCTTTTCTTTCTCTTTCATTTTCCCCTCTCTCTCTTCTCTCCTCTCCTCTCTCTCTCTCTCTTCTCTCTCTCTCTCTCTCTCTCTCTCTCTCTCTCTCTCTCTCTCTCTTCTCTTCTCTTCTCTTCTCTTCTCTTCTCTTCTCTTCTCTTCTCTTCTCTTCCTCTCCTCTTCTCTTCTCTTCTCTTCTCTTCTCTTCTCTCCTCTCCTCTCTCTCTCTCTCCTCGCTCTCTCTCTCTCTCTCTCTCTCCCCAAAGTACAGCGATATGGGATTGTACTGGGGGAAGCAGCCAGGGGGGGAGGGGGTCAGGGATCTAGGTCAAAGGATTATGAAGTTAATTCTTAATTAGCGAAGCAATTCTTTTTAGATCTGTGACGAATAAAAGCAGTTAATGAGTAAAATCACTGAACTGTGATTTATTTAATCAACTCAGACACTGTGTCATGGTACGACATATGTATAAACATATAGATATTGTCACAGTGCCAATGTAAATGCACATGTATATGATTTTTTTTTTTTTCTTTTTTTTTTTACCTTTGTACTGCTCTATTTATCCAGGGACATTGATATTCTGTTTCAGATTTAGAGTAATTAATTAAAGGGTCGGAAAGTACTTCTAGCTAATTCATTATTCCTTGTAGTTGTGAAATTAAGAGTAATTGGAAAGAAAACAATAATTTGCTCTTTGTCTCTCTGTGTGTCTCTATCTCTGTCTGTCTGTGTGTCTCTATCTCTGTCTGTGTGTGTGTCTGTCTGTGTGTCTCTATCTCTGTCTGTGTGTGTGTCTGTCTGTGTGTCTGTGTCTGTCTGTTTCTCTCTCTCTCTCTCTCTCTCTCTCCCTCTCTCTCTCTCTCTCCCTCCCTTCCTCCCTCTCTCTCTCTCCTCTCCCCTCCCTCTCTCTCTTAAAAGAAATGATACTTATGTCCACATTCAGAACCCTCATATCTTATCCTCATATCTTGTGAATATTATCTCATATTATCACTCTTGTTTAATATTACTTACTACAAGACGAATAGTTGGCTTAATAATGATCTTGTATGCTTAACCCGGGATGTTTATGAAAATGGAAAAGTTTTCATTTGCCGTATTTTATTTGCTTTTGCTTCTCCTTCTCCCTGTAAAAGAGTTTCAAAATTACCCTGGGGTCTTAAACACCAAAGGGAAACAACTTCCTTTCTTCAAGAAGACTTTGAAAACAGGGGCGTTTGTCATAAGAAATGTCCCTATTTTAAGCGTCCCATGCATAGAAAAGTACAGTGCTGCATATTATCTTACTTGTTCTAACTGTTGGGTAAATCTTGTTAAAAAGAATTTTGTTGTTATTTTATTAAACACGGTTCCTTCAGGTGGAAAAGTACAGTCTTGCATATTATTTTACGAGTTTTATCTGAACGTTGAATAAATTTTGTTAATAATGATTCTGTTGTTTACTGTATTTTATCATTTTATAAGATACTGTAGAAATTATTTGTTGTTCATAATGTATTGTACTTGGTTCCTTCAGGTAGAAAAGTAGTGCTGTATATTATCTTACGAGTCTGCTCTCACCGTTCAATAAATCTTATTAATATGGGTTCTGTTTACTGTATTTTATCCATTTTGTTAAATACGGTAGAAATGATTATACTTGTTATTCATAATGTATTAACCTTAGTTCTTTCGGATATTGTGTGTACTATAAAATGTCCTGTATCCTAGGCTTTCTAGTATCACAGTGTCTCCTCTTTTACGTAGCTTAGTAAGCGGTCCTGTATTATTTCTTTGTTAGCGCTAATAATTATGATTATTTCTGTTCGTTTTTCCTGGTCATATTACTCTAATAAGCGAGTGTTTAGTGTGGCATGAGTACACATATAATTCAGAACCAAAATGGCTGTATAATGAACAACTTGGTTAATAATGACATGGTCTCTCTTTTCTTTCTTTTCTTACTTAAACATGTATGCTATTGCAGGTGTTCTAACGATGACCTCTTGACATTTTCATTATTTTCCTAATGGCAAAAGCTATCGAACATACACTAATTCCATGATTACGTTATTTTCTCTCTCTATTTCCAGTATATATCGTTGCTGCAGGGAAGGATAAAGATCGTAGGAAAGCTAATTGGTATTGAATGTCTATCAAAACCCTGAACAAGGTAGTAAAAGCAAACAGCATTTCAGACGCTCTTGAGCTGACGGGACAACACAGTAAACAAGGGTAATTGGTCATTGCTCCGCTAATTATAAATTCTCTAATGAGGACTACGTGAAAGGGGCTGCACCGTGATGATAACCGCATAAATTAATTTCGCTCTGCAGGTAGTGATTACCTGCTAATGGTGATTAATGCCGCTCGTAATATGCACGACTCCTTTTGTGAGTTACGTCGGCTTTGAAGTCGTAGATGAAATTTAGTGCTCTAATATGTCCCGGGCAAGAAATGATGTATATCGTATCGCTGTTTTCTCTATGGCCAGGGTACGTTACATGATAAAAGAGTACGAGCATTGTATTTCAAGTGCAGTTTAAGGCTATACCCTCATCTTTGGGGGTGTAGCCATAAGTCAAATGCTGTAAGAACTCCCCTCTCCCCCTCCCCCCTTCCTGTAACGTTATCTGCTGAACTTTAACTTTGGCTGATCTTTCTTTACAGAACTTTGGACTGAAGAAGCCATTCGATTTTCTTTGTCTTGGTTGTGGCTTAACCATATCTATCTATCTATTGGTTTATTTATCTGTCTATCTTTTGTATTATTTATCTATTTATCTATTGGTTTATTCATCCATCTATATATTAATTCATTCATCTATCTATCTATTGGTTTATTCATATATCTGTCATTTACCTATCCATATATCCAACTGCCTATTTTTCTATCGATTTATCTTTTTTTTTCTTTTTCTTTTTTATTTATGTGTATGCATTTCTGTTTTTATATGGGATTATGTATTCCAATAAGTAGGGCTTCCAGTCTTAGAAATAATTTAATTATAATGCCTAAATATATATGTGTATATGTGTTGTGTGTGAGTGTGTGTGTGTGTGTTTGTGCGTGCGTGTGTGAGTGTTGTGTGTGTGTGTGTGTGTGTGTGTGTGTGTGTGTGTGTTTGTGTGTTGTGTGTGGTGTGTGTGTGTTAATGCCAATTTCAATACGTTTATTAAGCAACACAGTATGACGTTGTACAGTGGTGGGGGAATGTTACTTATTGTTAAGAATTATGGCTAAATGACTACGTTTTTTTAGGGTTGTGGCTGGTATGTGGACAGATAATTACTCTTCTGTAACGAAATGTTTCTGAATATTTATTTGCCTTTAACTACTTATTTAGTAAAGATAAATTAGATAATAGCTGTTCCTTTTACGATTTGCTTAAACCAATGACACGAAGATTCAATGATTTCTTAAATAAGGAAGGTAAGTACCCAAGTAAAAATAAGGATACTAAAAAAAGAAAAAAAAAAAAGAAAAAAAACATAAAAAAACATTAATTAATTACCTTCCCCTTCATGAAGATCTGATATCCCAATACCTCAATTCCCTCCTCTCCTTTAAAAAAAAAAAAAAAAAAAAAAAAAATCCCTTCAAGTAATTGAAAACCTGCACGAGATTCTGAATCATTAGGGTCCACTTACAAGCGTTACCTTATACTCTCCGTCTCCGATCCCTCATCAGAGCTCGGGTGCTGCATGGTATTATCCTGCCATCGATCACCCAGCTAATGAATTCCCTGTATGCAAAATGTCTGCGTGCGGAGAAGAGCCCCTTCTGTGATAAAGCAGCGCGCTTCTTCCCTTCCTGATTGGACGCTGGGCACTGAATGCGAGGCTGTGACTGGGGCTTCAGAGCGGTGGGTCGCGGGGTGGCACTGATGTGGAGGATGTGGCACTCTTCGCCGCCCTTCATTGCGCCCTTAGGTGGTGGAAAGCAGGATTTTCGCAGGAGCTAAATTTGTATAAGAATAGAATGAGTGCATTTATATATATGTACGTATACACACACGCACGCGCGCGCGAACACACGCACACACACACACACACACACACACACACACACACACACACACACACACACACACACACACACACACACACACACACAACACACACACACGCCGTGTTTGTATATTTATTTTTGATTATATATACAGATGCGTATATATAAGTATAAATGTTTATATACAGATGTATGTATGGGTGTACGGATTGATGGATAGACGAGTAGATAATTAGATAGATAGATAGAAAGATAGATCGACAGACAGATAAACAGATGGATGAATAAATGTGTTTAAATGTGCGTGCGCGCCTGTGTTTATCTTCTCACTGCTACTGCTGATGTGCTTTTAGAAAGAACCTATTGATGTATACAAAGCAAATCACTGAAGTATGTCCCAGAGAACATGTCATTTGGGAAGAGGTCCCTTTCATCCTTTTTGCTTCAAATGGGAGTCAGTCGGCTGAATCTTATTTGTCAACAACTGATTAATATATTAGTGAATGGATAACAAGATGAGTTATTGGATATTTGATACAACGAAGCCTTGGTCACACGGTACAGTTAATCATGCGACAGATTGTATTAAAAACGACTAAACCAAAGGAATATAAATCTATATTGGCATCAAAGTCAGGGTTTCCAGCCAAAAAAAAATGATTTC